ACTTGGCTGGTTAAAACCAGTGTTGTTTTTAAGGAAAGTGTATAGACTTTATTATCATAAAGACAAAAATCTTTTGAAAACGTCTGTTTTTTGGGTTGGCAAAAGGATCAGCGGAAAGAGTTGTTAATAATAATATTTCTATTTTTTAAAAATTCTACTTAGATATATAGGTTCATTTCAACAATAGTAAACTTGTATAACTAGATAAGGCTATAAATAAAGATATAGGTTAACTTAAATAAACCTTGTGATTATATAATTGGATATGAATTATTTAATAAAAGATTATATATTACCAGTATCTTTGCACTTAAAAAAAAAAATAATAATAATAATAAAATAATATTTATTAAAAAAAAAAATCTTTTTTATAAAATAAGATCAAAATAGTAAAAAATAATTAAAAATATAGAATAATTAAAATTTTGTCAAGAATAAATTATAATAATAAACTACAGTATAAACAATAAACTCAAATTTTTTTAAAAAGAAAAAAAAAATAACTTTATTTATTTTTAAAATTATATTTAGAAATTAAATTAATAATAAATAATCAAGTATTAAAATATTTTATATATAAAAGTTATATATTATTATGTTTTTAATTTACTTAATCAATCAATAATTGATTATTATTATTTTACTTAATATTGATAAAATCTGGATTGATAGCCTATTGCAAAAGAAAAAAGAAAACTATTAGGAGGTTTTCATTTGTGAAATAAGATTTTTTTTATTCTTTTTACAAGTAAAATAGGCTTTAATTAAATCATAGTATAGATATACTGTATCTACTTGGTATTAGTTGATATTATAATAAAATCCCAATAAGCTAGGACTAATTTACATTTATGTAAAAGATTCTTAATGAAATGATCATAAACTCTCATTTAATAAAAAGTCTTGCATTTAATGTCTGTTTGTGATAATAATAAGAATAAATACAATAAATACTTGTTTAAAAAAAAAGATATCAAGTATATATGATTAGAAGATTTTTTCAAATGCAATACATCAAAAATCCTTGTATTCATTGTTTGTTAAAAGGGTCAAAAGTTGCATAAGAGTTTTTTTGATACAAACTCAATCAGAAAAACTTGTATGTTGTGATGATTTTAAAAATATATTGTTTATTTTTTTTTTAATTCACAAATTAGTTTTTCTATAAAAATAGAACGATGGTTTCTTTTAATATACCGGGTAATATGTGTGTATGTTTTCTGTAATTTCGTACGTTTTATGGGGATCCTTATATAATTATTGCTCTCGTCTTTGGTTCTGGAAGAGATTAATGGGAGTTGGTACGAAGTTTAATGTTCGCTGCTATCGCCGTGGACTTTATTCGCGATAGGCGATTTTTAGCCGTTGACCTCGGCTTGTGATTAAAGCATTTCTGCTATTTAATGAATGGTGAGATTTTTACGTCTTCTTCACTCGACTTATTTCACGCTATATAAATTTTATAACATTTGGCATAAAATTCACTAATATCAAATAATCCTCTGTTCTGTTGATTTCATAATTTCTTGGGAAGCTAAAATACGCGCTTCGCAAGTACTGTATCTCGAACAAGATTAATCATTAATTCACTTTCAAGAAGTAAAAAGAGTGGAACTGCAAGGAAGCGATTATTACTAAAATACAAAGAGATGAAAAGGTAGCAGCAAATAAAACATGCAGAGTACTTCATTACCCGAGCATTACTATTCTCCCGAATCCTTTGTACAAAAACAATAAATTAAAAAAATTCTGTTAATCTATTTTATGTAATAGGTAATGGACGTACAAACGGGCCGTTACTTTTAACTATATAGTCCTAGTAATTATACCAATAATTCCTAATTCTAACATCCCAACTCAAAATCTGTTTTCTCCCTCATTCTTCGTGATGTCACTCATCATCTCACTACTAACCTCTCTCTTTATCCTACCACCATAGTCACCTGAACTAGTCCTTCTTCCAACATTCGTGGATTCTTCGCTTTCTAACGTGGTCTGAGAGATTATGGTGTTGGATCTGCTTATGGTCGTAGCAGTTCTGCCCGCCGACGTTTGATACGTATCTACGCTTCCAATTCTGGCTAATCGTGGTCCCCTACTTCTGTCTTCACTTGGTTCTGCTTCTTCCTCTACTGTTTGATCGTCAATATTTTCGCTGGTAGTTGTTTCAAGGGGAGTTTCTTCCACTAAGGTTTGTTGGACCTGCGTTGTCTCGGGTTCAGCTGTGCTTTCTATAACAGCCGAATGTTCTGCACTTAGACCTGATGTGTCACCTTCTATTATGGCAGCTTCTCCTTCTATAACTTTCCCGGCGTACCCGATAATTCCGAAATCGCTTGACCTTTTTGGAAGGCTGGTCGCACTCCCATAAACTTTTCCTGGACCGTAAATTAACTCTGATCCACTGGCCGTACTACCTTTTCCATCCTCTTCTACATTAATTATCGCATCTTCAACTCTTTTACCGTGCGGTATATTGTGGACCTTTGCATCCACCTTCTTTAGTGAGAAAATCCGACCTCCACTTGCATCCACATTATAATTTTCCGTGATTTTTGGTACATCATTTTTTATACCGTTATTATCGGGTTCATTGTAACCAGAAGCGATACCTTTGTACTCTCCGCCCGCCTGGAAATCCGAGTCTGATGATTTTTTTTTGTACCATGGTCTCTTTGGTTCTTTCAGTAAATCGTCGGTTACTCCAAAAATTCTGGGCTGGCAGAAGGCTACCATAAAGGAGGATGAGGTTACGAACTTTATAAAGATTACAAAAAGGCACGATGATAACACCAATATTGGAATTATGTGTGGTAAAACTGTGTACACTTGGTACAGAATCTAAAAAATAAAATAAAATTTACACGTTATTGTTAAGTTTCGCATAAACGATAAGGACTAGGAGGGCAACGTTTCCTTAATATCTTACTAAGACAATGGCCTGTCCAAAATCCTCAATAACTAAGTTTACGATATTCATGATGAACACAGTTCTTCGGGTCTTGTGACTAAATGGTGCATTGAATTTTTGAATTCCAGCAAATCTCGAGGACATGATGTTCAAAAAATCCAAGTCAATCAAACTAAATACGATAAAGATGAGACTGGAATTTTGATATTTTAGCCACCACTTAAAGAACTTGTCATTAATGGCTTGTTCATCAGAAATTATGAAAAAGGTGGTTATTATATTCAAGGCGATCGGGGTTATCAGGAGAGCAAGGCTACATCGGTGAAATGTAGAATTTAGGATGCAATACGTGACCTGATTATTGATGAGGATGGATTCAAATAAATACCTGACAGAATACGTCCACGTTAAATCATTTCCGTGCAGGGCGATAAATGAAACGTCCATCGCAAAATCTAACAAGATGAACACGAGCAAAAATATCGAAAGGTTCTGTGCCTATAGAAATTAGAGAGGTTCAATTAAACGATGATACAACAAAGAAAAACACATGGTCATGTAGCGGGAAAAAAAAAAGTTAGATACATAAGGATCTCTTCTGCGAGCAAGGATATAAATAACAAACAAGATCAAGAGCCCGATAAAAGACCCAAGGAGGATCCATCGATAACGTTCCCAAAGTCCAGCTA